AAGTAGGTCAGGAGGTAAAAGGTTGACTACACAATCGTGACCAACTAAGTTGAACCCCAGGCCCCGTTGTAACGTGTATTCTCTCCCGCCTGCTGCCTGGGTCCCACCGCTATCTCAGCCCCCAAATAACACATGAGACACTATATTAGTTACAAAGCTGTTGGCCATTTGCTATGGTTTCTTATCGGCTAGCTCTGACTTAATTATTAACCCATAACTGCTAATCTGAGTATTTATACATGGTCTTCTCTTACCGGAGAAGGGGGCCAGACCTCTTACTCCTCTGGCATCCTATATTGTGACTGACCATGCCTCTGTTTCCCAGAATCCTCCTTGACTCCTAATCCCACCTATCTTGCTTCCCTATTGGCCAACAGTGCTTTTATTCAACAACCAATAAGATAAACATATACACAGAAGGACTTCCCCCATCACCCCATGCACGAGGAAGGCAGGCAATGGTTGTCTATCCAACAGTCTGGCCCCATGGGCCATCTTCAGGTTCAGTGAGTGACCTGTACGAAAAATCAAAGGTAGACGGAAACCAGGGCAGACATCTGAGGTTGGCCTCTGCCTTCCACAAACACCCATACACACATGTAATTTTTAAATATAGCCGGGCGTTGATGGCCCATGCTTTTAATCCTAGAACTCGGGATGCAGAGGCAGGTGGATTTCTGTGAGTTCGAGGCCAGCCTGGTCTACAGAGTGAGTTCCTGGACAACCTCTAAAACAATACAGAGAAACCCTGTCTCGAAAAACCAAATAAATAAGTAAGTAAATAAATAAATAATGAACATCCAAATAATAATGAGACATGAAAAATAAAAATAGAAAACTTGATTTCCCCCCAGTTTCACTTCCCTCCCAGGGAACAGCTAGACTGGCCATCCTGCAAGAATATTTCATGTGTCCGTACATCTCTTCCCACATTCCAAGGGTGCTGGGAATACCATCCAAGAGTAACTTCATTCTTCTGACTTAACACAGGGATTTGATCTCACCAGTAAGACAGAGTCTCTGACCCCTGGCAGAGCCTTCCGTAGTTTTCCTGCAGTACAATTTCTTTGACTAGTTTTCTTGTGTAGATATCTCAGTTTCTTTTTTATTTTTTTTCTACTATGAAGAAAGCTAAGAAAAACATCTGTGGGCACAGAACTTTAGCCATTCTATAGCAGTTTCTATGATGTGTGTTCCAGGTCTGCACAAATGCAGATGCTAGCCAGGTAGTGACGGCACATGACTTTAATCTCAGCACTTGGGAGGCAGAGGCAGGCGGATCTCTGAGTTCAAAGCCAGCCTGGTCTACAGAGTGAGTTCCAGGACAACCAGAGCTACACAGAGAAACCCTGTCTCAAAAAACCAAAACCAACCAAACAAAACGGCAGGTGCTGGTTCTCCATGCCCATCGTCTCTTCCTTAAGTATTATTCCCGTCTGTCCTTGAGTCTCCTGTCACTTGCTCTTTCTCTCAGTCTCTTCTCTCTCGTGCTCTCTCTGCTGAGCCTGTCTCTCCCACACTCTCCCTATGTCTAGTCCTTCCCCACCCCCAGCAGTTAAGAGCACCAGCTGCTCTTGCAAAGGACCCTGGTCTGGTTCCCAGCACCCACATGGTGGTTCACAAACCATCCCTGACTGAAGATCCAGTGCACCCAACCCTCTCTTCTAACCTCTGAGGGCACCAGGCATGCACAAAGTACCCATACATACATGCAGGCAAAGCACACATATACATAAATAAACTAAGACTGCTTCAAAAATTGTCCCTACTACAGGGTTAGGGAAAGGCTAGGTCATAGTCCTTCCCCCAAGTCTGGGGGTGGGGGCATGGTACTATATATGCCTCTGTCCCTCTAGGACACTGTACACTTGTCCTGGACACTCTCACCACATGTATTGAACAGACAGGGCAGTAAACTCCACTGCCTCAGGGATCCTCCTATCTCTGTCTCCCCAGGACTAGGATTACAGCTTTTTAAAGTGTGGGTCCTAGCACTGGGACTCAGGTCATGATGTTACCCAGCCCACACTTTATGGACTGAGCTGTCTGGATGCCCCTCTTTTTCTCTTTATTTTTGGTAATAATTTCATTCATTAACTTAAAAAAGTTATATTCTAACTCATAACTGGTCAAAATACCAAGAACTAATGTCTATGGGGTACTCAGCCAAAAATAGAACATCTCTCTCACATCCCTCCTCCTCCTAAACCCAGAGAGGAACAAATAGCAAATTCTTAGCTTTGCTTCATGTGAGAATGTCTTTTGTCCCTTCACTGTGGGTGTCTGATGGAAGTGTGGGTGCCCACATCCCACTGAACACATGTGGAGGTAGAGACAATTTGGGGTGTCAGTCCTCACTTTCAGCCTTGTTGAGACCGAGTTTACTCTTTGCTGTTGGACTAGCTAGGCTAACTGGCCCACAAGCTTCCAGAACACTGACTCTATCTCTCATCTCTCTGCAGAAGAGCTAGAATGATAAATGCATGCTGCCACATCTGGCTTCACATGGGCTTGGGGGATTCGAACTTGGGTCCTTAAACTAGCATAGCAAGTGTTTTACCTACTGATCCATCTCAATGGGGCCCTCTTCGTTTTCGTTTTTATTCGATTTATTAGGTTTACTTGGTGCGTGCGTCACGCACAGGCAATTCAGAAGCCACCAGCCATGCATGTGCAAACAGTACCCTTGGGAGTCATTTCTCTCCTTCCTCTGTGTGGGACTTGAGAATGGGACTTAGGTCATCAGACTTGGCAGCAAGGGCCTTGAGCCACTGAGCCTCTCACTGACGCCCCTTGTCGTCGCCCCCCCACACACACATATACACACACGCAAACTCCATTTTGGAAAGACAGTGTTTTCAGCTATAGGATCTCTGACTGACAGAAGTTCCTTTTTTAATCACTTGAAAACTATGCCACTAACTTCTGATCTTTGTGACTTCAGATCCTTTGTCACTCAACTGGCCTTCTTCTATAGGTACTATTAATCTCAGACTCTAAATTTTGCTTGTTTATGTATTTATTTATTTACTTAGGCTCTTAGTTGGTTTTTGGGCAATTGAATTACTCAGTGGTTTTGGTGCCAATTTGTTTAGATTTATCCTATTTGGCTTTGCTTATCCTTAGAACTCTGAGGCTTTTCCGTCTCTGACCACCTTTGGGAGATTGACAGACACCATTCATTTGGGGACTCTGGAGCCCCACCTTCTTCCCATTTTCTCTGGCACTCTAATGATATGACTGTGAGATAATCTGGGTGTGTAGGTGAGGCTCTTCCAGGTTGCTTGGGCTCTAGGTGTCCGTTTATTTTCACTTTGTTTTTCTCTAGTTTCCAGATGCATCCTGCTGAGGTCTTTATGCGTGTAGGTTTTGTCTCCTGCCCTCTACGCTTTAACACTGTGTCTGCCCAACAACTTTTTCATTTCAATTGTGTTTTTCAGTCCAATGATTTCCATATTTTACAGTGTCTGTTTCTTTGCTGAGAGCTGGGCTGAGGCTGGTTTTCATTTGTCTCAAGGGAGTCTGTTGAAACATTCTTCCTGTGACCCTTTCAGTCTTTGTGAAATGATGTCCACGTGATTCATTTCAGTGCATGGATAGATTTTTGTTGTTGTTTTCCGTTTCCCTAGGTATTCATAGGACCGGTGGCTTTCATTGTATCCTGGACATGTTGGCTATTGTGCTCTGGGACTCTTGGTGGGATTTCAGTCTCCCGTGTAAGCAGAGACTCACACTCTAGAGAGGAGGCAGCTTCTGACCTGCATCTGGGTCCCATGCTTCTAACACCAGTGGTGTTTTCCCGCTCTGGGATACTGCTCACTGGCCTACTTTCTCTGGCATTTCTAGGGCTCTTCCTGGGTCTCTGCTGTTGCTTTCCGGAAGACCAGAAGTTGTTTCTCTGTCCCAGCTGCTATGTGGCAAGGCAACCTTCTGCCACAGCAGATGGGAGGAACTAAAGCCATGGGTCTACATCCCCCAGGCAATTAGACTCAAAGCAGGACCGCAGTACACTTTGTTGATACTGTCTCTGTGGATGGCTGGCCCAACAGCCCGTTGCCCAGTTCTGGAGAGCGGGTGGTCAGTCCAGCAGGAATTTGAAGGCAAAGGAGGCCACTTCACTTGTGCCCCGTTTTGGGGCTGGGGAGAGCTTCCCATGTGGTTTTTGCCTTCTCCTCCTCTGTGTCTGTCAGGGGTTTCAGGCCTCTTTGACATCCAGTTTGAGGTCCTTTGTGGGACCAAGGAAAGCATGGGAATCCTTGTTTCACCTGGATTCTAAGCGTTCTTGTTGGTCTGCCTTCTAGGAGCCCAGGGATTCTTCAGGAGGTTCATTTGTTTATTTTTGTTCTGCTTGTTCATATGAGGTCTCATCTGTAGTTCAGAGGACTCTCAGCTGTGATCCTCTGGCCTCAGCATCCCAAGTGGTAGGATGCCTGCAGGCAAGCAGGCGGGGTAGTTTTAAATGTCAAGTGGCCATAATCTAGAATTATCTGAGAAGAAAATCTTCATCTAGTTATTGCTTAGATCAAACTGGCCTGGTCTGTGTGCCATGTCTAGCAGAAGGCAGACTTAGTTGTTAATTGATGTAGGAGAGGCCCCCGCTACTGTGGACAGCCCCCTTCCTTGGGTGGATTGTTCTGAATTACCTAAGAAAGCTAACTGAGCAGCAGCCAGCTAACAGCGCCCTCCGTGGCTCCTGCCTCGTTTCTTTGGCTGTGAAGTGAGTTCCTTGGCCAGAAGTAGTAGTGTGTGGCAAAGCAAGCTGGCCTGTCTTCGGGTACCGTGTCCTGCCTGGCTTGGGTCTGGAACCCTGACTAGGGGTGGCATGGAAGTGAAGCAAGTACAGATACACAGGCAGTACAGGAAAGGGGGCAGGTGGGGTGTGCACACTCCGATGGAGCTCTTCCGACTCAGGCCGTAACCCAGAATTGGTGTGGGGTGTCCACCAGAGAAGACCACTCAGACACGGGTTCAAGCCAACAGAGAGTCCTTTATTGGCCAGAAGTCCCCCAGTCTTCCTCGGGATGGGGTTCTAAGAACAACAACACATCCTGGGTTGACACACCTCAGTCAGCAAGAACAGTCCGTCAGAAGCTGAATTCAGAAGCAAGGTCAGTCCATTTAGGGACTTTCCCAGAACAGAGGACTTTGATGGAACAGGTCTTTGTTCTCCTGTTGGATGGTGGTTCTGGCCTTGTGCTGGTTTCCAAGGCGTGAATGGTCCTTACATCATGAACTAGCCATTTCCATGTCATGAACCAAGTTTCTTCTGTCCTCGGTGCAGAGTCAACTCTAGTATCTGTGAACTGAATTAATGAACTGGGTGGTGTTCATATGCGAGAATGTCAGAACCTTAAAGCTTTCAGCAGGCAGACCTGTTAAAGAGAAGCTTTTTCCTTGAGAGAAGCCCTTCCTTGCTAGCCACTTTGGTTTATCACCCGCCAGTCGCCTGGGCTCTGCCGCGATGTAGTCCCCAAATAACACACAAGACGCTGTATTAATTATGAAGCTGTTGGCCTTGTTTGTTTCTTACTGGCTAGCTCTGCTTTAAGTAATTACCCCATAATTGTTAATCTAAGTATGTCTCTTACCAGAGAATAGTTCCGGGCTTCCTACCCCCATGGCGTTACATGTTGACTCTCCTGTGTTTCTCCTTCCCAGAGTTCTCCTCGACTCCTAGTCCCTCCTATCTAGGTTTCCTATTGGCTCAACAGTACTTTATTGACAAATGCACAGGACTTCCCCCAACACAGACCCCATGTCCCTGAAGTCTTGAGTAAGCACCTCCCAAGGCTGTAAGTAGCATCTTTGTGAGAAACAGTCATGTTGAACTGGTGACGTGAACGTGGGAAACTGCTGTTATCCAAAAGTTAATGGCATTTGTCCCTCTGTGTACCCCATCTCACAGTCTACCTCCCCAGCTGCCTATCTGTCTGTCTGTCTCCGTCTAGCTGATTAACTTGAAGTCCCCTAACTGGAATGTCCCTCAGAAAAGACAACAGGATTCCACATGCCACATGATAAGACTTTAACCCTTGCTCTTAATGGCCCTGGCGTACAGTGACAGAACCTCAGTGGGGTTTTGATACACCTACATGTCCAGATTCTCACTAAATGTCCTCAACTCTCATTCCTTTTCCTCTGTAAATGCTACGATGACTCTGAGACACGGCTTTTCCAATGCAAACGTTGAAGTGAGGCGGCAATAGCCCACCGTGCACTGCCACAAAGGCTCAAACTGTGTAGGGTTTGTGTTCCCAAGTCTGAACTCTACCCCGCAAAGGACACCCCACGTTTGTGTTCAAGATGAGAACTGCATAAGGGAGTCATTAAGAACTGGGTTTTGGTGGGGCGGCTTTGATTTGACACTTTTGAAATAGGATCTGGGTCATGGTTGTGAACAGTGCAGAGCCCTTTTTTGGGCAACAGCGTCTGGACTTGATTACTTGAAGCCAGGTTGTGGTTCTGTTACCCACCCCTATGAGAGTGCTGCTGTGGCAGACCTTGTGTCCTGACATGTTTGGGGAACTCTGTATGGGTTCTAATTGTTAATGTGTTAGTTGTGACCCTGCTGTTCAGCTAGCTGCTCGGTGTTTGGACTCCACCTCTTACCTTGCTTCTGCAGTCCTGGCCTTCCTGTCACACAAGTTTCACCACTAGCATCTTGTCAGTATCCCGTTTATTCCCTGAGGATGACAAATGGCACGAAACAGACTACTCTACAAATACTTATCAAATGAGTGAAGAGTCACTGGATGATAACCTGGCGCAGTGAGCTTAGGTGGCACCTAAGGGACGTCCCTCGTCCCTTGCCTCCTCCTGTGGTCAAGAGATCAACGGAGTCTCTCCATCCATCCCGCCCCCAGCTGAGAGTCTGAAGTCGGCCCCTCCACACAGTCAGCTGTAGCCACTCCCTGCTTTCTCATTGTAAAGATGCTCACTTTTCAGGAGAGCCTGTCACACCCGAGGAGTCCACAGCCTTCCCTCACATTGTCTCAGAGATGGTCTCTAATGGCCGCTTCTTCCAGAAGACAGCTGGGGAAGTTTACAAGGGCTTTCCTATTCATGAAGGATGCTGTGAAAACTCTCAAGGGAGAGAGAGGGTACAAGACAGGCAGCTTGTGTAGATTCTCACCCATACGTGTTAGGGGACCCAGCGGAGTCCTCTGCCCTTTCTAAGACCCATGGGGTATTTTTATAGAGTATATACCCATAGGGTAATGTCTCAAACTGTCTGATAAATCACATCCCATTTAAACTCCACAAAATCCTATTAAAGGTAGGGAAACTGAGACAAAGAAAGTAACTCCCCTCAACTCCAACAGTCAGACCTTGTTTGGGTCTCCCTTTGTTCAATTTCCCGCCTTTTCCTCAACTACCCAACAATCCAAAGGGGAGAAGCAGGGGCTAGGGAAGGGCCACTGGAAGATGAGATCCGCCTACAAGAGCCCTCGAGTCTCCCCGGCTCCTCCTCTGCGTGGCACAGTTACTGACTCCCAGGGAAGCCCCCACCCAGCTGGTGGACCCTAAGTCCTAGCACTGCAAGATAGTAAGACCTCCCCTCCAGGGGCATCTAGCTGAATTTACGCCAATTGCCTTGTGTCTCAGCTTGAGCTTCCTCATAAGCAGAGTCAAGAAAATGGGATCTGCAGGAAAACACTCTGGGAAACTCCTTTGGGGGAAGCCAGGAAGGGAGGCACATGGAGGGGTCAGTTGATAGCGACACTCCACAATGAACAACAGGGGTTCAGTCCTGTGGAGGCCTTGCGTTCACAGCTGTGCCTAAGAAGTCTCCTTGGAATGCGCTAGGTACACTCCAGCACCCACTTTGGACCCCCCCAAACACATAACCACAGCTACAGAGGATCTGATGCCCTCTTCTGGCCTCTGTGGGCACCAACACATCATGGTGGCATAAACACATAAATTTAAAAAAATGAGAATACAACTTTAAAATGTCAGTTAAATCACAATTGTCTGGGGACTGGGGATCATGGCACAGTGGTGGAGAGCTTGTGTGGCATGTTGTAAAGCCCTGGGTTCAACTCTGCAGAAATCATATAAACAAACCAATAGATAAAGCAGCCCCCAAGCGACCTGAGAATTGTAAGAGGAAACAAAGCCTTTGTTCCCCAAGTTGCTGACGGTCGGTCGTGTGATTTATCATAGCAACAGACACTCTAAGACGCAGGGTTTTGTTGTTGTTTTGCTTTGGATTCATTTTCCCAGTGATCCTGCCCTGCAGGAGTTGCACAGGTGTGTTTTCCTTCTGTTAGGCAGGTAAGCAGGTGGTGAGTCCCCATCCCCATGACTCTCGCCCACCACTGCACAGGGCAGGGTCACCGACCTCCCTTAATCTGTAGCACAGGCACCTGAACATGATGCTCTGCTCATGTGTGCTTGGAGCCCATTATTCTGCAATCAGAGTTTTTGTCAGGGAACATAAGTCATCCACCTATCCCTCCACCCACCCCCACTCCCCCACCCCCGGCCATCCTCCACGCCCTTCCTTTGAGGAAAAGGTTCTGCTTACTTAGTTCTGTAACCTCTGCTCTCCCCAAATAGCAATCCCTTGACCTCGAGTCTGTGCCTGCTTACCTCGGGGACCATCTGAAGTCTCTGGGTGACAGTGGAGACTCTCGAGCACCACGGGCCTATGGGAGCAGGGAGCAAAGCGTCAGGGCTGGCAGGCCTGGCTCTGAGGCTTCTCAGTGTGGCAAGGGTCACAGTCACAGGCACTAATTCTGGAACCTGGAACGGAGCCTTCCTTCCACACAGCTAAAATCTCTGAGGGCCTGGAATCAGAGCAGGATCGTCTCACAGAAGTCCCTTCCCTAGTCTCTGGAGAGGCCTTTTCTCCACCCTTGTCAGTCTCTGAGGAACAGGACAAATAGTTACGGCCACCACGTTCACTGCATGTCAACTAGAATTAAGTCTGAGGGGCTTTCTCCCAGCTTTTTTGGAAGAACAAAACTTTGAAGGCTTATTTCTTTAAACACTTTTTACATTGATGTAGTTATCGTGTGTGTTTGTGCATGTGTGTGGTAGGGAGGACAACGTGAGGCATCAGTTCTCTTCTTCCATCCTGGTTTACTTCTATCAGAAATGATAGTTCAGTGGTTAGAGCACCTGCTGTTCTTACAGAAGCCCCAGGTTCCTGGTACCCACTTGGTGGCTCACAACTGCTTGTAACTCAAGTTCCAGGGGACCCAATGCCATCTTCTTGCCTTTTTGGTCACCTGGCACACATGAGGTACACATACATTTATATAAAAACACATGCACTGAAAATGTTTTGGTTGGTTGGTTTTGGGTTTTGATTGTTGGTTTTCTAAGACACAACTTCTCTGTGTAGCCATGGCTGTCTTGGAACTCTCTGCAGACCAGACTGGCCTTAATCTCAGAGATCTGCCTGCCTCTGCCTTCCCAGTGCTGAGATTAAGGTATGTGTCACCAACACCTTACTAAAAATGTATCTTTTTTAAAAAAAGTTTTAAAGTAGCTTTCTGAATTAAATCGATTTTGGTTAGAGCTCCATTCCAGGTTTTAATGAAATATGGTGAACAAATGTTTTAATGGGGAGTTAATAGTCCTGCCCGGTTGCACTTAGGTAAGGAGACAAGAGTTGGTTAATCTAATTCAGCACTTGGCCCACGACCTGCTGAGGTCCTGAGGGAGTTTGTTTAAGCAACTCTGTTTCTCAAAGCCAAACATAAGTAAATTAAAATTCTTTACTGCACTGGGCAAATTTTAACAGATCCTGTTTTCCTTGTGATGCTGTTTTCCAAAGAAGAACGATGAATAAATTCTGTATATTTTACAAGCTATCAAAATAATTTACCTAACACCATCCCAGTGTAAAAACACATGTGAATGAGTGCCCAAGGGGAGGCCACTATGTGCGTTTGCTGCCGGAGTAGGGACCACACTGTGTCTACCTAGCAAAGCAAGATTTTCACCATGTGAAACATGACTTGGGGGGAGGCTGAGGAAGGAGGAGGCCTCTCCTTCAACTGACGAGGTGGTCAGTTGATGCTTAATGTGCAATTGTGAGGGCCCGAGTTCAGATCCCCAGCACTCGGATAAAATGCTGACCAGACTACAGAGAGGCAGCAGAGTGCTCAGCCTGAAGGGAACGTGTGTGCTCTTAGGGGAAGGGTGGACAGGATGAAAATCTATTTATGGAATTCTCAATAAAAAATGTTTAAGGATTTAAAAGCAGATGGTAGGTGCTGGGGTTGCCCACCTTTAGAACCAGCACTAGGGAGGCAGAAAGGCAGGTGGATCGCTGAGTTTCAAAAAAAAAAAAAAAAAGCGAGTGGCTCCTGAGGAATGCCGGGAAAGGGCAATCTCTGACTTTACCATACACACAAACGAACACCCATTCACAGACTCAATATGTAAATAAGATCACTTAGTTACAATATATGGGTATTAGCATACTGGGGTAAATTGAGGGCCATGCTGGTTCCAGGGGTCTGGCCTGCCACCTTAGGCCCTATTGGTGTCCTAGGGTCACTCTGTCACTGCGGTCAAGCAGATCTGGATGGCCTTTGCTGCCACCTGGGGCCATGATGACATCCAGACCCTGGCTACTGCCGAGGACCATGCCTGGGTCCGTGATCCTACTACAACCGGGGTCTGTGTTGAAGTCTCTGGCCCACGTTGTCACCAGGGTCCATATGAAGGCCAGTTGTCTGGGCCACAGCCTGTGGTCTTGTTGAAGTCTGGAGCCTATGCTGCAGCCCTGGCCATACAGATCTGAGAGGTCTGTGCTGCCACCCAGGGCCATGGTGACATCAAGGCCCAGGCTACTGCACAGGGCCATGTTTGGGTCCGTGGTCTGGCTGCAGCTGGGATCTGTTGATATTTATGGACTCTGTCACCTCAAGGAGCATAGGAATCATGTGTGATAAAGTACTATGCTGATCCACTCTGCCCTTCCCTGACTCTGCCTCTCACTGGGCACTACAGACCCTCACGGGACAGCTGTTCCTGCGGTCGGGAGAGATGGCCCAACCTCACCACAGGCCAGGAAGACCCTGGTGGCATGGGCATAGGGGATCCTCACCTGAGACACGTGGCCCCAGTGGTCTGGACTGACCAGGTCAACTTCCATCCAGGCCCACAGTCAGGCCTTGAGTTAGCCCAACCTGACATCTACCCCATCTAGGACCTGCTGGAGCCCATGAAGTTTCTGGTCCTGTGGATCCACACTGGCAGGATCTCCATGACTAAGTGTGGCCACGGGATATCCCAGAAGATATCAGTGAGGATCCAATGAGGATGGTGTACCAGAAGCCAGAGGCCTTGAACCAGACCAGTTACTCGTTGTAATGATTAGACAAAAGCATATAATATGTGACACTCCGCTCCCAATGCCACCAGGGGAATGAACAGGTGTTAGGCAGGCAGGAAAGAAGGGGAAGACATGAGGTTTGGGAGGGGAGCGCGTTGCTTCTTGTTTTTGCTTGTTTGCTTGTTTGCTTGCTTCATTTTGCTTTGTTTTGATGTTTTTAAATTTTCTTTTGGGAGGTGTTTCAGGGGCGAGGGGAAGATATGGACAGACTGGAGGTGACCGGAATTAGGGTGCATGATGTGAAATTCCCAAAGAGTCAATAAAGAAATACATTAGCTTTAAAAAAAAAGATCCTGGGGGTAAATACAGTGTCTTTCCCGCGAAATCCCCAGTGGGTGGCAGACGATGTCTGAAAAGGTACATGGGAGGTGCAGCTGAGTCACAGTGCCACCCTGAAGAAGAGCAGCGAGGCTTCAGTCCCGAGGGGCAGCCAAGGCCATCAGAGTCACGAATGAGTAGTGACAGGAACAGTAAGGTGACACCAGTGGGTTCAAGCAGACACAAGCTAAAGACTGGATGAATGAATAAATAATCCGGGAAAAGAAGGAGGAATGCTCTCTTACAAGCCAACTCGATTATTAAAATAGACCCAGGGTGGGGAGAGAAAGGTCCCATTAGGCACTTAGGTCAATGATGACTCCTGCATGGAGACTAACATCTACAGGGAACCTGGCAAGGAACAGGATGCTTGTGTTTCTGAACAAATGTCTCCCTGATTATACCATAGAGTGGGAAACTCTGCAGGAGCCACCGGCCCCTTGACAGGACCAAGAAACACAGATGTCTATGGGACAGTAATGCTAATGCTCATGGTAGTATTTACTGTTCTGGCTGGACCCCAACGTAACTGAAGGAAACATCAAAGGAGCGTCATTCAGGGACATCCCACAGGAAGAACTGACCACTGTACTTTTAATGTGCACCTAGGCCACTGTTGGGGAGGCAGGTGAGGAAGGACAGAGGACCTGTCTCAGACTGGAGCAGACTAAGGAGGTGGAAGGTCACAGGTGACCCTGGACAGACAGCAGGAGTAGTGTCAAAGCTCTGATCAGGTGACCCTGGACAGACAGCAGGAGTAGTGTCAAAGCTCTGATCAGGTGACCCTGGACAGACAGCAGGAGTAGTGTCAAAGCTCTGATCAGGTGACCCTGGACAGACAGCAGGAGTAGTGTCAAAGCTCTGATCAGGTGACCCTGGACAGACAGCAGGAGTAGTGTCAAAGCTCTGATCAGGTGACCCTGGACAGACAGCAGGAGTAGTGTCAAAGCTCTGATCAGGTGACCCTGGACAGACAGCAGGAGTAGTGTCAAAGCTCTGATCAGGTGACCCTGGACAGACAGCAGGAGTAGTGTCAAAGCTCTGATCAGATGACCCTGGACAGACAGCAGGAGTAGTGTCAAAGCTCTGATCAGGTGACCCTGGACAGACAGCAGGAGTAGTGTCAAAGCTCTGATCAGATGACCCTGGACAGACAGCAGGAGTAGTGTCAAAGCTCTGATCAGGTCTGTGGCTCGTTAGCAGCATCGCATTGGTCCCAGGGACTTGTGCTTAGGGCTCTGTTACACAAGCTGCCAGCACTGAGGAAGCAGGAATTTTGGGACTCTCTGTTCTGTGTGTTTAACCTTCTTGTTGGTGTAATAATCCGGGGCTGTGTGTGTGTGTGTGTGTGTTTGTGTGTGTGTATGTGTGTGTGTGTGTGTCTGTGTTGGACACATGTGTGTGTGGGCAGCCGTACATGGAAACGAGAGAGCAGCCCCAGCTATATTTTCAGAGAGGTGCGATCTACTTGTATTTTCAGACAGGGCCTCTCATTGGCAAGTAGGCTAGACTGGCTGAAGCACTGTCCTGGCTGAGCGATCCCCCAGCTCATGACCCAGCATTGTTTCCAAATAAGAAAATGGAATAGGGTAGGGTGATGTGGGACATTAAGTCCCTGGCAGGGAATCCATTGTGTATTCATGAGACTTGGTCCCCACGTTCACATGAGGTTTGGTGTCTACAGGTACATTAGGGACGAAGCAATGGCTACGTAGAAGATGGGCCCCCCCCAAGCTTCAGGTCTAAATCCAAGCAGCTGCCGTCCATTTGTCACCACTCATCAGTGATCTGGTTGTTGCTCCTCATAGAAACCACAGCAGAGGGAGGAGTATATTTGCTCTGTAAAACACAAGGAGACACGGGCTCAGGTAACAAGAGCTGCCTCATGCTGGCCAGAGGCTACCCTTGACTTAAGCAGAAATGTAAAGAAACATCTTTGGGCTAGTTGGCTGAACTGTCTTGGAAGGAAATAAGGAAAGGCCACCCCACATTTCAACACTTTGGAGTTTC